AGATTGCCAGTATTCTTTCTACAAATTCATCTTAAAGCAAATCCCTGCTCTTCTTTCCACAAACAAAACAACTTTTACTGAAATTGTTCTCATTGTATGGGGGTAGAGAGAGAGGGCGTGAGGGAAGGCCAGCATGTTTAGACCTGTGGTTGGATAAGCAAAAGACTGGTATTTTTCCACTTCTTAAAAAAAAAAAAAATTCTTTCAAGTCAGTCTTATCTTAATCTGCATCTTCTTGGCAGCCATAGAACTGCCATGATAGGTATCCCTCATCATCCATCATATTCAAGCTACCTGCCTCACACAGTGAAATACAGCTCTCCCCCAGACACCTTTAGATCCAGTCAGAACACAGATGTTTATTTCACTGTGCTCTATGATCTCCATTTCAGACTTCCCCAAGCTACTAGGTCATGCACTCTCCAACACATTTGTCCTTTTCAGGACATGCTCAGAAAAACATCCAGACTAGTCTGCCCTCTCAGTCTGGCACTGGCACAGCACAGACAAACTGCAGGGAGGTCAGGTCTCAAAATGGGCAATTACAACCCAGACTTCAGCTACGAAGGTTCTTTCCGCACCCAGTCAGTCACCTTCTGGTTGACACCTTAGACTTTAAAAAACAAGCAACAAAAGCACCCTATCTCCAAACCCAAAACTAAACCAGGAGACAATTACTTTGATGATTATTACTTTTTTACATTTTAGAAGCTGCCTCCTTTTGCTGTTCAATTTGAATAATAAATATTAAATCCAACCAATATTGTCTGTACACAAAAAGAATACAGCACAAAAGGAAATTAATGACCCACAAATCCAGTATTACTGCAAAATATAAGGGTTTGAATTAGAGGAAATGAATAATAGTGAACTCAGCCAGTTTAAGTTTCTTCAAGATACAGTGAGCTCTGACAAGATTCAACAATTATTTATTGGTAACACTGGCTCTTAGTTTTTCCCAACTGCTTCCAACCCATCCTTCCAGTCCTTACCCTGGCTGTACCTGTTCTTCAACTTACAGACAGCACCAGTGGTTAAAATGACCAGAATATGAAGGAAGCAGGTATGGAAGGAGAAAGAAGGAAGACGGAGAGGTAGTTGAGATCAACAACTATGGATGAAAGAAGAAGGGCAGAATATGATGTTCCTCAGTATTTGTTTTCCAAGGGTTATTCATAGTTCAAAGCAAAACTGAATTCTGTTGAATCCATAAATAATCCATGGAAGTTACCTCCATTAAAGACCACTGAAACAAAAATACTGCAATGACCCAGACATCTGAAAAGCAAAAATGGTGTCTGCAGTGAAATAGCTGGCCAAATCTTTATTACAGAATTCAACACATATTTCAGAATAGAAAAAAAAGATGTGGACTTGAAGCTTCCATAATGTTGAATTATCACATAATTATCCACAATATACAGCCCATTGAAACAAATTACTCCAAGGATAAAGAAAAGTATGATAGCTGTACCACACACATTTCAGTCATACAAGTTAGAAAAACAGCCTTATTAGTTTATGCTAAAGATTCATGTAATAAATATTGAGAGTCCTTCCCTGCTAAGCTGTTATTCCTCCTTAACACACACACACACACACAAAAAAATCAGGTACTTTCTAGTCACATGTTGCATTTGGGTCATCACTGTTCTTAGTCACCAATGAACATGAACTCGTACTCCATGAATCTGTTTACACTTCTGGCTTTCTCTATGTCCTGAGGCAACAAGTTCTGCCATTTGTTTCATATGAGAAAGTCCTTTCTTTCTTAAAGCTGGTAAAAACTCAGACCCACCTGACTGAACTGAAATAATCCTTCCCATCCTATTCATGAGTTCCCTGTTCATCTACCACAGCCCTCTTCCATCCCTTCTTTGAAAAGAGTCTAGACTCATCAGCCATTTCAACAGAGCTGCTGCTCATCTCTCATCATGTTGTTTTCCTTCTCTGTTCTTGCCTTTTACTAGACTTCCCTCCCCTATCAGTGTACAAAAATCAAGAACTAATGCATCACACATTTAAATAGTGAGAATTCTGAAAGCTTTCATAACTGTGCAGATTTACCTTAACTTGCCTTAGTCTATTTGAGATTTGATTTTATCTTTTACACAATGCAACATATGCAAAGTAGACAACAGAAAAAAACAAGATTTGACATTTCAGGCCTGTACTGATAACAAACCAAAAATACTCTGAATATATCTGTGCATGTGTCAGAGCTAAGGAAAACTCAATCTGACCAATGTAACCAGAATGCACCATCAATAATATGCCATAAAAAAATAGCTCAATTCTAGACATGCAATGCTTCTGCTCTCAGTCCACATCCAAATACATGGAAGTATTTTATACAGCAATTTTTCTTCAGTTTGCTTATGACCTAATGAAATTGCCTCCCTTTCATCTCCCCAAAACACTTATATGCTGGTAAATATTCAATTGATTACCTGTCTCCAAATCGGCAGGAACCTGTTTTAATATAGAAGGGGCAATTCGCTCTATCCTTCTCTGTTCCCAGATTCTCTGGGGGCTCTGGGTTATGCCAACTCACACCATTCTCCAGCTGTGAAAAAAACATTAAAATACACAGAAGTTAGAAAAGAATAAAGAAAGGGAATGTAAAAAAATAAAACTGACAACTGAATCCCCAT